TATTTTTTCTTTTCCCTTATTTCCTTTCCCCTACCCTTCCCGCTTCCACTATACCTTTAGCCCTTTTCTTCCTATTTCACATGTCAATTATACCATTTGGATCTTATTTACCCTTTTAGTTTTTCACACCAGAGAAACTATTCAGTATTTACACATGTGACTTATTTATTTCACTTAAGAGTGTAACCTCAATATGTATCCATTTTCCTATGAATGACTCCAATTTCTCATTCTTTATGACTGAGTAGTATTCCATTTTATAGAAAAACCTCATCTTCTTTATCCAGTTTTCATCTGATGGGCAATTGGGCTCTTTCTAAATTTTAGCTATTACAAACTGTGCCTCTATAAACATGGGTGAGCATATATCACTGTGGTATGACTCTTTCACTTCTTTTGGAAATATACCCAGCAGAGGGATAGCTAGGCCAAATGGAACCTCTAATCCTAATTTCATAAGGTATCTCCATATTGACTTCCAAAGTGGTTGCATCAGTCTGCATTCCCACCAACAATGAAGAAGGGTTCCTTTCTCCCCATATCCCCACCAACATTTGTTATTGGTTGATTTCTTGATAGCAGCCATTCATTCTGGGGTGAGGTTGAATATCAGTGTTGTTTTCATCGGCATCTCTCAAATGACCAGTGGTATGGAATGTTTTTTCATATATTTATTTGCTGCTTTTACTTCTTTGTCTGAGAAATGTCTGTACATTTTAGATAACCATTATTGAATCGGATCTTTATATTTGGGGGGCCTGATATTTTGAGTTCTTTATATATTCTATATAATAGTCCTTTGTCTGAGGAGCATATGGTAAAATTTTTTCCCACATTCCAGGTTGTCTCCTAGCTCAATTGGTGCTTTCTTTTGCAATGCAGAATCTTTTTAATAAGATGAGATCCCAGTTGTTGATTGTTTGTCCTAGTTCCCATGCTGCTAAGGATTTGTCAATGAATTCCACCAAAAGACTTCTGGACTTAGTTACCACTTTCAGCAGGGTAGTTGGATACAAGTTCAACACTCAAAAATCAATAGCCTTCTTGTACACAAATAACAGACTCACTGAAAAAGAAATTAGGGAAACAATTCCTTTTACAGTAGCATCCCAAAAAATGAAGTATGTAGGAATCAATCAAATGAAAGAAGCAAAAGACCCCTACACTGAAAAGTACAGAACTCTGAAAAAAGAGATCAAAGAGGATACAAGAAAATGGATAAATATTCCCTGCACCCAGTCAGGAAGAATGAACTTAGTGAAAATGCCATACTATCAAAACTGCTATACAGATTCAATGCAATGCCAATTGAAATTCCAACAGTATATTTCACAGAACTAGAAAAAATAATCCAAAAATTCATTTTGAACCAGAAGAGACCTAGAATAGCAAAAGCCATCCTAGGCAACAAAGACATGGCAGTGGGTATAACAATTCCCAATTTGAAATCATATTACAAAGCCACTGTGATAAAAACAGCATGGTACTGGCAAAGAAAGAGACCTAAGGATCAGTGGAATAGATTGGAAGATACAGAAACAACTCCAGATGTACTCAGCTACCTCATCTTTGACAAAGGAGCCAACCATCTTCAGTGGAGGAAAGATAGCCTCTTTAATAAATAGTGGTGGAATAACTGAATTTCAACCTGCCAAAGACTAAAACTGGACCCTTATCTTTCACCATGCACTAAACTAAAATCTAAGTGGATTAAATATCTAAATATTAGAAAAGCAACACTAAATTTGCTGGAAGATATTTTAGGCAGAAATCTTGAAGACATTGGCATAGAAAATTATTTTAAAATTGAAAATTTTAGGAGGGAAACTCCCACAGTAGCTTTTCATCTAATACTAGAAATACCTATTTATGGGTTTATTTATATTTTAGTGAGCACATAAATTGTCATTACTCAACATTATGTGTAGAATTTTCATAATGATGTTAAAATAATTGGCCATGTAATCTCTGATACTGTGTTTTGACTTGCTAATTACCTGATTGCTCCAAATGGACAGAAGGGAATTATAAAACAACATTTTACTTGGCTCTTAGGAGGTAGAAGAAGTTTGAGAAAAGTTTGAGAGAATACTTTTCCTCCTGTCTTTGGACAAAAAAAAAAAATTGCTCCTCGTGGGTTCATGGGATTCATTTGTTGCCTTTGTTTTGAAAAGTTGAAGAAATATTTCTTTTCTGGTCATATTAATAAGTTTCTAGTCCATCTGAAATGTTAGCATGCTAGAGGTAGCTCTTTTAACATTCATATTTCAAACCGAGAAATGCCAATTATATAACAATTTCCATAAGGCCCTTAGTAGGAGATAGAGAGCAAATAATTGAGTTAAGGTTTACATTTGAGGTAAAAGATGGGGGATGGAAAGAAGAAACAGAATTTTAATGGCCACTGCTTACTTTGTCCACAATAAAATATAATATTTATTTTTTGTTCACTTATTTATTTATAGTGAGCTCATTTATTTATAGTGAGATTTCTTCACATTCATAGCGCAAGATGCAGAGAAATCTACAATACATTAAAATAAATTTGCACATTAGAGGACTTTCAACATAAAGTTTGCATAAGCAGATATTTAGGTGTATCTTGTTGGGATTCTACCATCTAAAAATAAAATGTAAGTGTGTTCATCGTGAAGTCACTCTTAATTCATGTGTGCAGTACTTTTGATTGGAGCAATTATTGTATCTGAAAAATACATGTCATGGTAATGGCATGCTTCGTATTTAGTCTCTTTGAATAACATGGTAACCACACACATGGCCCGCCAATAGTGAATAATAACATATGTTAGTCACATCAAGCACTGTGATGCAGCCTGCTTAGGAGCTCCGAATGGGCAAGGTGTAGGCTTTGATCGTATCTCTTATGTACCTCCTTCTAAGAAGGGTAGACATTCGGATGAGAATACGATCAGTATGGGCCATTCTTGAGTTCAAGAGTCTTGGAACTGTGATCCTATATAACATCTAACTAAGATCAATTCAGTGTGTTTTAGCCCAAATTTTCAACTGGGCCTAGCACTCCATTTCTTTCTGTGGGCCATATTTCACTGGTACATTAGTGGTATAATCACAGATAAAGTGATTTACATTTTCCTGAGGTTTAAAAATCTTTCAAAGAGTAATTTGAGAGTGCACGATGTCAGTTTGCTTCATTTTTAAAAGATTTTGCAACCCTCTCTTTTTTCCTCATACTTTAAAACTTTTTCAAATTTATTCATTTATCAGGTTTATTTGTTACTGTATGCCATGGATTATGCTAGAAACTAAATAATGAGAGTGAAATGGACATCAGACCCTGGTATAAGATGGCTCATTGAGGATCAGGTTAATGTCTGCCTGAGGCAGGAGCATCACACCCATGTCTTGTGAGAAAACTCCAAGGCCCTATTAGGACTGGAATAATCTGCCCCCAGGGGTGTGTAGAGATCTGACTTTAGACAGATAAACTGTTCCCCTCAAAAACCTCTAAAGTCCTGACTCCGTTCGCCTCAGCCCCTAAAGCATACAATCCAAAAACTAGCAGGTGGCCAATAACAATGTGCTAAATATCCTGACTCCACCCTGGCTCCACCCCCGCCTCACCCTATATAAGCCTGTGCATTTTTCTGAATAAAGCGGAAGTGTTCCAGAAATCTCCCCGGTATCTGCATGGTGATTCTGTGCCTTGCCCTCCCAGTCCAGTCCCCTAAACCTTGTTCCACGAGGGATGAAAAAGAAACAAGTAAATAAACACAACCACCAGAGCCTGGTTGCTGGAGGAGTCTGCTAGATCACCTGTGCCGTTCTGGGAAAATGAATGAAGATGGTATTCACAGAGAAAAATATACATTGGGCAACATGATGTGTTAGTTAGGGAAGGACAGGGCACTGGGGATGGGTTATTTCAAACCGAGGAAGCACAGGTACAGACACAGAGAAGCAAGAAGGGGCAGTGGAGTTATTGGGAGGAGGAAGAGGTTTTGGATGAGATGCAATGATGCAAGCAGGCAAATGCATGCTAACGTGACTGGGAACCATTTCGTCAAAGAGCCTTCACACAGGAAAGACGCATGGCAGGTAGGGTTCAAGGGTGGCTGGAGGATCCAGAGGGACTTGAAAGAGAGCTATCATGACAAAAGCAGATTACCCGATGGCTAGACCAAAGCAGCAATCCAATGTCGAACCACAGACCAAAGATAAAGCGTCCCACTCTAGTTACATGAATCCTCAGTCTTTTCCTCTTCTTTCAAAATATAATTTCCCTTCAGTGTAAACATTTCCATTTATGTAAGCTTCTAATTTTTTTTCTTAATCTTTTAAAGACATACTAGCTGGGCGTATTGTTTGACACATCTAATCTCATCACTTTGTGAGCCTGAAGCAGGAGTATCACAAATTAAATCCAATAAATAAATAATTGTATGAGCCATCTTTCTTTCCTTCAGTCTTCTCCTTTTTTATATGCTTCTATGTAAATAAGCTACCTCATCTAAACACACACACACAGTGTTTAAGAAATCATTTACACTTGCTGGATTTGACTTTTATGTTACACTTGCAATTATCTCTTTGGATTTTAATGTTCAGTATGTGAAATTATGGACCTTCCATAAAATCCCTTTTAATGCCTTACAGTGTAAGCAGTATGTTCACCTCAGGTCCAGAGATTAGCCCTGATGTGGTAATATTTTTTATCCTGATTTTTATCATAGTCCACAGTGAAATCTAAAAGTCATATATGACATTAGTCTTATTTGATTTGGTTACACTTAATAACATAAAACATCTAGGTATCTCTATAGTTTAAATATTTAGAGGGATTAGAGATCAAAACCCTAATTTAAATTTTGAAATAGTTTACCTGACCTCAGGCAAGACTCTACATTTTATTTATAAATTGTCCTAGATGAGGGCCACAGTCGCACCTCAGTGATGCTGCACCTGCCAGGAAAGCTAAAGGTCCTGAGTTTGATGCCTGATACTGAGAAACAAAACAAAACAAAACAAAACAAAAAGATGCTGGATAGGAGAGTTGGCTTGGCAAGATGGAAAAGGAAACTCCGAGGTAGGGTCTGCTTGGTAAGTATCTAACTGAAGAGGGACTTTCAGGAAGCAGGATTTTCCCATTGAAGGCAGTCACCTATAGGAAACAAAAGGACAAGTGAGCAATTTGAAGTATTTTGAAAAAAGAAAAGACTGTTTAATGTTCCATATCCTGGGACAAATTAGGAGTAGTGTGCTGCTGCTGTGTGGTCAATCTATGGTCATGTTTCTTGTTGGAAAAGGAGACTTCCTCAGCAGGTATATTCTCACAAGAAAGTGGTCAAATAATTTGCTCTAAAAGTTTCTGTAGGAAATCTTTCATTCTTTGTTTTTAAAGTCTGAACTAATTCTAAAATATTTCATTTACTGTTCATTTCTTTGAACCGTTATGCCTTTTAATGAATGCTTTCTAAATATCCTCTGATTTGTAACTGCAACTTTATCACTCTATGCCATATAATTATTAAAATAACATCAAAGTATAAGGATAAAGAAAATTGAAGTATCTAAGAATTCCTGTAATTTTTCTGTTGAATTTAAACAATAAAAGAGTATGCAGGGGTTGTATATCTAGGAGGTATGATCTCAAATACAGCGAATATTTATTTATTTTAAAAGCAATGTATTTCAGCCAAGGCCACACTGGCATTGATCTCCCTCGACACACTTACTCCTCCTTGCTTTGATCACACTTGTCACATCACTCTTGACACTTCCTCAGTAGTGCTCGATGTCCTTTTCCCTGGATGCCTGTGGTTATGCTGTCGTGGCTGCCTCGAAGTCCTGAAGTGATTCAAAAGCTCCAAGTTTTCATGGTCACTTTGACCTTGAGGAAGAGCCAGAAGTCACATGATATGGTGATTAAGGCAGGTGGTCACCCATAGACACAGCATTGTTTTCGCGAGCCTGCCTTTTCATTGGATGGCATTTGGGAGCATCAATCATTGTGCTTTTATAACACCTTATAAAGATGCTCACAACTGCTTCAGGAAGTGGCAGGGAAGATGGGACAAGTGTGCTTGAAGCAAGGGGATTATGTTACATGGATGAATGGCAGTGTACCTTTTACTCTAGTAAGTGATTTTTATTTAAGCACACACCCTATTTTTGATCAGCCCCTATATTTTGAGTCCCCAAAGTTCTAGGAATTTTTTTTGAATAAAATTGCCAGTTAGTAATATTTATGATCATGAAACAGAACCATAGAATAATATTTGTCTTCTTTTCTAAGATCCTATACTAATGCTTTTATATTATTCTTCAAGGATTATTAAAACTAGGGCCAGAGATTTAGCCCAGTGGATCTGCTCCCTGCCTCACAAGTGCAAGGTCCTAAATTTGATTCTGGAACATCAACAACAAAAAAAGAATTATTTAAAAAAACTCAGGGTTTGGCATAATTTACATTTCCAGCCCCACATAAATCTATAGTCAATCTCATTTGAAGAAGAGGAAAGGAGAGAAAAAGGAAGGAGGGGAAATAGAGGAATTAAATATGATTATTTTCCTATGCATTCCTGAAGGTAGAAAACCATTTGTTAGTACTCTTTATAAGAGAAACATTAGTGTAATCTTTCCCCAATATGGATTATTCTTTTGGAATCTTTATCCACAATCAAAGCAAAGGATAGTTAGAAAACAAATCTCTCACTTATAATGCACTTTTACATGTTGCTTTTATTTAACCTAAAATAAAAATTAAAAAACTACATTCCTCACTCTTTTTGAAATAAATTAGTAACTTTGGTAATGATTGCCCAAAGACCTCTCTATCGGGAAATGAAGAGAGGCTTTTCTGTCCTTTGCTTTTCGATCCCTTCACCCTTTCTTCTTGCCTTCACCACAAATTGGGAGACATAGACTTTCATGGATCTTGGAGCTATGAGTTTCAGTGGCTTTCACTTTGGGAACCAATAAACTGACTGACCTAAGAAAAATTCTCAAAATTCAGCTTTTTGGAACTTTTCATTATTTATTCTAGCAGGAACCCTCCAAATGTAAGAGCCAAGCATATTATTGCTTTTAATTAACACTGCTGAGTTGTTAGCATATCCAAAAGCACTTTATGCATGCTTCAACAACACCTGAAACGTAGCCAGCAACACCACATAATCACTTTTGTAGTTAATCAACTTAGATGCAATTTCACCCTTACAGGAGAACTGGGGGAGACATCTGGATGAAGTATTTCAATCTCTGCACTGGAATACTTGAATTTAGAAGTAAAACACACCGATATTTATTGAAGGCATTTTAAGCTACTTCATAATCCTTATTTTTTCTCTTCAAGAGAATGATTACTATCATATGAGAGTAATGATTATTATTATCAGAGAACCATTCACACATGATAGGACAGAGTACATAATTTACATTTATGGCTCATTAAAATATTTCAAACTCCAGCGAAGTTTGTTCCAGGAGCAGTTAAGCTATTGTCAACTTGGTGAGCTTGGGAGGGGCACAGGGATTAGCAAGGCATAGGGCTTGGTGAGTCACGGTGAGTTCTAGAGCTGTTACCTTGGGGTCTACGTCTGGGCCATGCCCATCTACCGTGATGTCCCTGCCTTGGAGTTAGTTAGCATGGGCTGAATTCCCTGAAACTGAATCAAAGTAACCTTCTTCTCCTTTACCTTGTGTGTGTCAGACAGTTCGCTCCCGCGGTGCGGTCGCTATTACAGCCTTTGTCTGCTGGCATTGTAACCCTCTCCATTTGTTTTGGGTCATCCTTTCTCCTGTCTTGCTTTGGATGTCATCAGTTGTTTCCATTCTTGTTTAATCTTTCCTTTTTGCCTCTCTCCTTGAGAAATTAGTAGACTGTAGAGTACGGAGCGCAAAAACTAGGGTCAGACTGAATGTTACGTCCTGGCTTTGTCACTTACCAGCTTCGGAACTTGGAGAGGTTCACCTTCCTGTGCCCCAGTTTTTTTTTTTTTCTGCTTATATAAAACAGTTCCAAATATCTCACAGGGTTCAATAAGCTTTCAAAGGTGAACATCAAGAACAATGCCTGACAGCTGGGCGTGGTGGCACATGCCTGTATCCCAGCACTCGGGAGGCTGAGGCAGGAGGATCGCTGTGAGTTCCAGACCAGCCTGGGCTACATAGTGAGTTCCAGGTCAGTGTCAACTACATAGTGAGACCCTGTCTCCAAAAAAAAAAAC